TCAGCATTGTGCCATTTGAAATAAATACATGTACACTACCCATCTGATAATAGAGATTGACCTTCATGTGTTCCTAAGGTGTGAAGGCCTTACTGAGGAGGTAAATAAATTTCAACAGGTTTTTTTAAAATGTACTTGTACTTCACGGGTATGGACTCTTGAGCAAACAAATGACCAGTTTGTCTTCCACAGAACAGAGCGGGAAAGAAAGGGGGAAAAAAGTACTTCAAAATCAAGATTCCAATCAACAACCTCTGTGCACAATGTGTTTCCAAAACCCACTCACATCAACACAAAGTTCTGCCCTTTTCCACTCAGCCTTACCAAAATAAAAAACAACTGGTTACAATTCATGGCCAGTGAAAAAAAGAAATTGTCCAGGGCACGGCAAATAGGTGATCACATTTCCTCAAGCATTTGAAGTTCAGTGACAGTGAAGTTAAACTGCTCTATTACAAGTACACTGCACTTCTCCAGTTCTTCTTTTCTTTCAAACTTGCACTTTTTCCCCTCGAGGGGAAAACTAAGCACAGCAGTAGTTGTGCTAAAGACTGATGTGGCACAGGATCATGTAGCTGGGGGGGGGGTGGGAATCAGGGTGGAAGAATATCCTTGCCCAAGACTTTAAAAGACACAGTAACAATTCTTGGTTGCATAGTTTCCATGGAAGGCACAAAAGGAAAATCGATGCGTCCCAGCTGGGCAGTATTCAATGAAACCGTCTTGAGAATTGAGTCATGGCTCTGGGGTGCTGAGTGCTTAGAGGGAGGTGGAGAGGGAGTATTCATTACCTGACAACAAGGATGCTTGGTAACGGACTCGGAGGGTGACAGTTAAACACGATAAATGTGATCCCAGACCACTTGAGTTTTTTCCACCGAACCTGGTCAGCAAAGATGGCTCAACTGCTCACTGCTACAATTTGACAGGCTTTTCAAGATCTGTCATTGGCATAAAAGTCATTTTCATTATCAATATCAAATCTCCTCACGGCAGGAATACTGGTACAAGTTCAAGGGTCATTTGCGACGAGGGTATACAAAATACCAGTGTTGTACATGTGCTGCAGTCGAGTACCAAGGTTCTCTGCCAAAGACTGAACAAGATGGGTAAGAGGGAATAAAGCTGGAGTGCATACATGTAGGCATTTGATGGAAAATGCACAAAGGTAAGATTACAAATTAAATGTAAGACTTCACACACTCCCAGTCTTGTGAAATATACGTTTTTATGGAGAAAAGTATTCAGAAACTACTCAGCCAAGTATCGGTACCTTTCAAGTGCTTTTGTCCTAAAAACTTAATTTGTATTGAATAGCGATGGTCTTAAATCACCATTTTTTTCTTCTAATCTGACATGTACGGTACCTTTGTGCACTTATCCGGTACCGTCAAATGTACTAGTACATGTACTTCAGCTTCATTGCCTCCTGACTACCAGTTAAATATTTGGCAGAGAACTACTCAAGACTCTACTACAACTCTGCAAAATACTGTTTACACGTACATGTACTCCAATATTTCTGAATGCTGATTATGGAATTTGGGACCATGTACCATGTATCGGTCCATATACATGTAGGCCTACCACTGTTATTGGTACTTTGTCGAAAACACATCTGCACATTCATGTATTGTACTGGTACATGTATGTACATGTTAACTCACAACAAATTCTCAAGCAAACGGTGGCTGAGCAAGGACCCAGCTGACCAGCATTTTAGTCAGGACTGCAACACAGTTCAACAGATCTTCATGGTAAAACAACAACCTCGACATGATGCAATTTACATGTAGATACCGGTACATGTACATGTACCATGCAACATGTGAGAACTCCTGGATCCAATAATACCATGCACAGCATTAAACAGCCCAGGGCTGTCGGTCAGATTTATGTACAGCTCCAGCAAAGGAATGTTTGACCAACTTAAGTCAGGAGGAATTGGATATTGTGATTTGACATGGGGGAGGTTGGGACGTGAGGAAGAGAAATAGGAGCACCAAGCAAGATAATCTTCAGAGAGAAGTCTGAAAACAAACGTAGAGTACAGGAAAAACAAACCGATGATGGGATCTGACACCTGAGTGTCAGGCAAGCACCTGGATCAAAAACACTGGCCCATCTGATCCGACTCTCAGAAAATGCAGCTGGGGCTTTGTAAGGAAAAAAAAATAATCACAAGGGAATCGCAAAAATATCACAGTCTTCCATATAAAAGAAACTATTTGGAGCTACATGTTTATCAATATCATCAGGTAAGATTGTCATTTTGAACCCAGCCTAAAGTTTGATAACTGTTTTGGGCTATCAACATTGTTCTCATGAGCTTCCCTGATGCTGTTCTCCTCCCAATGACAATTCCAATGCAAAATGGAAATACAAGTACATACATGTACCGGTACACGTCACTCCTATTATTTTGGTTGGAAAAACATGATAACTTCCAAAAGTAATCCAATCTGGGTCACAATTCCAGATATATGGCAACATTCTGGGAAAGCGGGCCCCTGAATTTGTTATTCATTTCATTCCACAGATTTGATCTCACTGAATAATCCATGGTCCAAACCGCCAAATTGAGTCACTAATAACCACAGGATGTACCAGTAGATTCTCATTTGTGCTGAAAACAAATACATGTAAAATGCGACACGACGGAAACCTTCAGAAACTGCTGGCCTTCTTTTACTCACTGTATGTCCATATTCATCAAGATGTCAAACTACCTTACCTGTACATGTAATAGTCTGATCAATGTCAAAAACAAAGAGCCCCGTGTGCTCTCAGCTAATGGGAACCAAATAAAAACAAGTTGAGCAAGAAAATACCCTGAAGGCTCATTTCGCGGAATTCGGCAGTTCTATCTGGGAAAGACTTGGACGCACTGCAACCATACTGCGGGGTTGGCCACGACACACTACATCCCGTTTGTAATCTTTTAAAAGCTACTTTGGTTATACTGAGATTTGGGGAAAGGGAGCGGGATTAATGGACGGACGCAAAGGAGAGAGCACCCAGGGTAGGGGAAGACGTGGCGTGATGTGGGGGTGCATGCTGCATGCATCAGCCTCAGTTCATGGAGGAATCAATCATGCAGAAATAAGGGGGAAAAAAGAGTGCTCAATCACAGTAGGGAATATGTGTAACTACCGGTGTTTAATGTGGCTGTGTGGTGTTGCTGCAGTCCAAAATAAAGTCTCTTCAAAACTAAAAGAAGAGTTTTTTGAAGTTATAGAAAATACTACAGGTACTAAGGTTCAGGCAAGCAATCCCGTTCAGTACACTTCCAAGCATTTTCTGAACAGAGAGCCCCACCTTTAAAGGACCACATGATACATACAGTACGTCGTGTACGTCTGCCGTTATTAGTACAACATTGTGCACTGCTTTTCATTTGAGAAAGAAGTGATGAAGTGAGCAGCATGGGATACATGTCATTAGAACATGTACCCTCGGGAGCCCACTAACCTTTTAACACAGGAATGTCATGCCACCTATATTGTACACTAACCAAATGAGAAACAAAGGCCACACATATCTTTGTCTCTATCGCCATTTTTTCAAGGCACACATCTGATCTCTTTTTCAACAAAATGAACAAATTTCTCAACATTTCAGAGAAACTTTGACCAGCAGAGTTTTACATGTATACCTTAGGAAGGCTCTCATGTACCTTGTTCCATTCATTGATGTGAGAATTTCAAACAAACGTGTTTCAAGCACTTTAGTCTCACGTTCATAAGAGTACGCCACAGAGTCTTTGAATACCCAAAGGTAAAGCTCCCCTGAAACACTCTTATATCGTAAGCAACACATTCCTTGGTGCCACTGGAAAAGCGAGTGCATTCAAGAGGTTTCAAGTTAATTCCCCAAGACCAATGAAGAAGTCACTGCCATTTTGATTGAACTCGTCTTAGTAATTCAAGATGCATCACACATGTCAAAGGAATTCTAAAGTGTTGGTTTTTTTGGTATCCTGCGTGAAGCGATAGTTGTTCAGATCTAAAGAGAGCCATTTTTAACGGAGTCGCCATGTCTCCATGGACATCTTCTCATTAGTCCCGTTTTCCCGCTCCAAATCTGAAGTACTGGGTATTCTCTGGATGTAAACCAGGATGTGTACGGTACCTTGGAAATTCATATAGATCTAGGACTGTTTGTTGGAAAGTTTCAGTTCCCTTTCATGGATGTGAAGTTGGAATCTGGCAAAGTTTTGGGTATCAGGATGAAGACAACCGATGTCGGTCCTCACCATTTTTGGTACAGTATCGGAGATCAGAATACCTATCACAGTCTTACATGTATTGTACCAGTACTTGTACTTGGCAAACCTTGTTACGGCCTGAAATTAGTCCAACATTTTGGCCAAACATTTTAAAAAGCCTGAAATCAGGCTTTTGCCCAGAAAATAGCATTTCTGATGTACATGTAGGATACACAATATACATTTACATAGCTTTTATCAACTAGCATCATGTACATTGCAGAGTAACATATTGGTGTTTTTTGTTTTTTTACCTTGTTGGGCTAGGTTCTTCTTGAAGGCTCTCCTCGCTCTCGCTGCCCAGGCGGGATCGGCCCATGCGTGGGCGGTTCTGGGCTGGCATGGATTCACACCGGGTGCGCCAGGAGGGGCCCAGGGTGGCCACCTGTCGGCGGGAAGAGCCTGGTTTGGCCTCCGAGGTGTTACCGCTGCTCTGGCTGCGGGGTCGCATCTCCTCCTCCTGCTGGCTGATGGAGCGCATCGCGCTGCAGAGAACAAGGACACAGATGTACATGTACATTACCATGCATGTACATGTACCTTCATGTTCTTCTTATGTGCTAGAAATGATCAATGAATTCAATTAAATTTCGAACTGCCTTTTGTCAGTTACATAGTCAAGTCCATCACAAGTCAACCAGTCTTCATGAAAGTGAGAGGCTATCTTATTGAATTGCAATGAAAGCCTTTCTTCGTCACTAGTCATCCTGTTACAGGGTACTTCGTAATTAATATTCATGACTAGTTTTGTGAAAGGACTTGTGACTGGAGTTGATTACAACACCAACTTTTGTTGAAGGGGAGATGTGGTGTTGCGGCTAGTGTCTGTGACTTGTGATCTTAGGGCCCAGGGTTCAAATCCAGCTGCTGTGTGGCCATGAACTGTGTCCTTGGGCAAACTACTCTACCCTCATTTGCCTTTCTCCACCAAAGAGTACTGTACAAATGAGCACTGGCATTTACCGGGGAGCAGCTTGAGATGGACTGACATCCCATCCAAGAGGACTAGAAATGTTCCCATCCTGTCATGCTTGGGAAACCAAAGATCTATACATGTCAATACTACGCTCCTGGCAGCCATCAATGACATTTTGTTCAGCCATGAATTTTTGTTTTATTGAGATGAGAAAGGTTTCTGCCTGGGACCAAATCAGAACATTCGCACAAACAGGTGGCTGTCACACAGCAAAGACAATCTCTTCACTGATATTATACACAAATCACTCGGAGTAGACTTCATTGCTTCATTGCTTATGGTTCGCTACAGCGGGAAGTGGCCAACGAGTAATACGGCGACGCGACACACAAAAGGACCTCTTTCTGGCAGCCAGGCTTTTTCGATCGGATAAAACCGCGCAGGGGTTTGGCAAGTCCCCCAGGACCTGACTAAGGCTGAAAGACACAGCATGATTATGCTCCCAAGGAGAAAAAAAAGGAAAAACAGAGCACTGCTCGTGTCCGCAGGGACCCCTTGTAAAAAGATTTTTCAATCACAATAAAAGCAGGGCTGTCGTTTGCTGAAAAGGCGGTGGAGTAGGAGAAGGGGAAACACATAACAGCACACACAAGATCGAGGTTGAGGTGTGTTCATCGTGTGTGTTGGCATTCAATCATTCTTGCTACCTGTACATGTGTGTACAGCGTAGGTTTCACTTTTACATGTATATGGATTTCCATCGCATGTCCCCCCCCATGAAAAATCCCTCAGGAAATGTTGCCTACACTGAAGTGCTCTTGTCTAATACAACTGTGACAAAAATACAACATGCAGGAGTGCATTTTTTTAATGTAAAAAGCCGTGTACTAATATATGGCTTTGGCTGAACATGACACGTCTAAGAAAGCCACTGGAGGCTACAACCAACTTAAGATAGACACCTGTGTTACTGCTAGCCACAGCCACTTGATTTGAACAGCCACACGTGTATTGGAATGTGCAGAAAGTCAACAGAACTATTCTTTACCTGTGTGGCCCAAGTACATACATGTACATACATGTATGTACCTGTACATGTATGCCTTGTGCATTACGTACATGTACATGTAGATTAGACTGACCATCCAATGTTTTTGACATTTTCTCTTAGAAATTCCACCAGGTTTTACTCACACGCCCGAAAATGAAATTTCTCCAACTATTTCCTCAAAGTCTCCTTGGGTATTCTCTGAGACCTGTTTCTTTGAGAAAGTGATCAAAAGGGACTCTTGAGGATATCTGGCAACCTGAGAGAAATAAATGAAATGGCATCTGAAGGTCTCAATGCAGTGGTTTTGCTACGGTCTTTGTACATGTATATGTGTGTATATACATGTACATGTAGCAGCAGTCGGGATGTGTTTCAACAGGTTAACTGCTGACTACGAGTATATTGGTAGTCACAGGTGAACCGGATTCTGCCAAGCTTCGAGTTTACTCATAGGAAATGAAAGGCTTTTGTATTGTAAAGAACTGGCATCACTGGAAGCACAACTATTATGCTGCTGGCAGTGGTGAAGGTGTACTTCATGAAATGATCATGTTCAAATAGACACCTGAAAAATATCTATTAACCATAACCGCTAAGCATATTGTTTGGCTTACAGTACTCAGTACTACAAAGTACTAAGTATACATGCAGTATACTACATGTAAGTATATAAATAGCCAGAGCCTGAAAGACCTAGCGCTACAAATTACTACTTCTGGCGAGGTTACTTCCATTGTTACTCATACAGAGAACAATAAAGCCATGCATTCATAGTGCCACAGTACTGTATGGTACATTGTCTTATCTATTGTATCTTATGGCTTCACAGAACAATAAGGTCATGTCCTCTTACATGTACAAGCGACAGTGCTGAGTACTACATTTTACTACAAGTAGTAATTTGTAGTACTACGTAGGGTTAGGGTTAAATACGCGCAAATTATAAGCAGCAGTCAACGTTTTAACCACTTGCCGCCGGGGACTCTGGTTTTGGGCACCATGTGTTTATATGCGTGGCCAGGGTCTCCGAAATCAGACAAAGGGAACGTGGCCTTGTAACAAAAGACCGGACTCAGAGCAAGAAACCAGGCTGCTGGGCATTACCAACATTTTTTCACTCTCAAGAATGGAGATAATCCAGCCTTGTTTCGAAACAGTATACCACGGTTTGGGGCATTTAGTGCGAGCGGATTACCACCGGGGACAAAAGCACTCCACCACCGTAGCGATGAGCCACACAGCACCGCTGCATGCTAATCTGGCCCCTATTGAAAAGAGGTCAGCAGCGCACTGTGCCAGGTTCGTGAACAAATGAAAGTTATATAACATCGCACAATCTGGGCTCTTTTCACAAGGCAGCAGACCTGGCTGAAATACCCAGGTGTCAATAGATGTTGTCTGTCAGATTAGAGTAGCCACCAGACAGTAATTTGTGTGGGTGAAAACGTCCATTAACCCTAACAGTCCCAAATCCTCTGATTTAAATATGATTTTACATCCACCCTAGGGGGTTAGGGTTACTTGAAATGATGAATTTTTGAAGAATTTTGAACACGGAAAATCTTGAAAAAATCCTGATGTGCACTGCATTTTTCAAACCACCCGGCAGCAAGTGGTTCTAAAATGACGTCACACAGCACACTTACTTCAAGGAGGCCTCATGGATGTTCTGTGCTATCACGGTGTCCTCCACCTGCATCCAAATTTCTCCGGTACCCGTCACTGACTGCCGCCCGACCTCCATGAAGAAGAAGCAATCCGAGTGACCGCATCTCCTGATGGCTGAAAGCTGGGGAGAGGTTGCAAACAAAACAAATCAGGCCAATACTTTGTCTGGGGGATTCAATGACACAAACACAAGTGGACGAGTATGAATTCATGAGAAAATTCTGGTGCTGTGGTCAGGAAATGGTCAATTCAAATCCAACTGTTTTTCCAGAGCAAAAAACTTCGTTATTTCTGTCATTTTAAAAAAGCCTTGAACCTCTACATGTACACGTATGCCAATCAACTTTCTAAAAGATTTGGGTGTAGGGTCTGCCCAGTCGTACGCAAAGAAAATCAATGCTGTCGAAAAATTGTGCATTTGGGCATTTTACTTTTATCAACTGTGGTGTAAATCTTTGTTTTCCCTTTTTCATGAATCGACACCATGTACATTTCTGTGTGCAAAAAAACGTACATGTACACATACCTATAAAAATGTACAGCAGTTGTGAACAGCCACATGGATAAATTTTCGTCTCACCTTATGCTTCAGCAATTGAGCTAAAGCACGTGCATTCAATTCCTAAGGGCTAACTTTTCATTCTCCGTGCAGAGAAACTCCTTTCATAGGGTAGAACATTACGGAATTGTTGACTGCTGTGATGTAGGATATGATGTTTTGGGGACCTAGCCCGGGGGGGACGCATAGCAGAGGGTGTTTAAAATATCATATTCCACATCACAGCAGGCAACACTTGTTTTGTCATATTAAATGTACAGTACTGTACAGTACCGGTACATGTACATGTATCTCTGTCTTGATGTTTTTAACTTTTTTTCTCAGGGACATTAAGGGCGACAAAGGAATTGTTGAACATCAGTGGTTAGCAGCATCTGCATTTTCCTGTGCACCAGAGGGGGATGTGTGTGCACATGATATCCTACAGTGCAACGCTGGCTGATGCGATGTCTGACGCTGAGTGTGACAAGCAGTTACATGTACTTGTACGGTACATGTACACTGCCCATTCAGGTGATCATTCAGGACCAATGACAACACAGTATTCAAGACAGAGGTACGACAAATCCAACTGTCACATTGGTAAATGAAAACGAACTACCTGGTCAGAGAAAACATGTGAAGAAAATTTCACTTTCCCAGCTTAACTTTCAATTGCAATGTCCTGTACTTTATAATATGCACACATAGAGTAAGCTGGTGCAATAGCCAGCTTGTCTGTCGACTTAAGCTTGATTTTGGAATAGTTTGCCAGGAACAGAGGTACTATAGTACATGTACCGTCTAGGCTTACTCTCCCCAAAACTAGGCTGTCTTCTGCTGGCGAGAGGATGTTTTCTGTGGCAGGTCCCCGTCTCTGGAACCAGCTTGAAGTTCAACTTAGAGAGTCTAGGAATGTGGAGAGTTTTAAGACCGGGCCGAAGATGCACCTTTTCAAACAAACATTTTTAGTTTCTTAGTATTGATTTTAACTATGGTACATGTAGGTTTTATTTATTTCTTATTTATTTATTCATTCATTTAGTTATGTATTTCTTTATTTATACTTATACTTATACTGATGCACAGCGCCTGGGAGCAGCTTGATGGATTGGGCACTTTATAAATGTCAATTATTATTATTATTATTAAGACACATTTATTTTCAGCAGAGCGACTCCACTTTGATCTGCTATCATCCCATCAAGCAAACAGACAGCATAACTAAGGCACAGCATTGCTACTTGACCCTCTAGGGAGAATCCAAACGATAAGCTCTGCTGTTGCAATAGCCCTTTATTGGCATTCGGGGGGGAGGGGGAAGCAATCCTGTCGAGTATCCGTTACAGTGGCCACAGAAAGGAATTAATCTAGAATTCAGCAATGCCCAATGCCCAGGTACACGTACACTGTGCACAACCCCACACAGACACATGTGGCTCATTTTCCCTTACACTGCGGCAGAGGTGTGATTTTTCTAACGTACACACTTCCTGTTTTCCTTGATTGGAGCTTCGGGACATCCTAAGTCTTTTTCCTTTTCAGGAGGTGGGGAGGTTTGAGGGTTAGATGTTGAAGGGTTTCTCCTCCCCCCCCTCCTCGAGGTTCCATCACGTCTCTTTTTTTAATCAACATTGCTAATGCTCGCGACACCCACAGGGAAATCGAGAGCCAATCCAATAACAAAATAAAAGCCTTCAGTTTGCCTGTCTCACGTACTGCCAATAAACAGGGTGGATTCCACAAAATCAATATTTACCGGGGTCAAAGGTTACTCAGCCAACTCAACAGTCACCTACTGAAAACCCTTTAGAAAAATACGAGAGGGTTAATTAAATAAGTCAGTTCTCGCTCCCCGTTTTCCTCTGAAAGAGAAAAACTAAATAAAATGCCTACCAAATGGCATTTCAGGGTAGGGATGCATTTACTTCAATCCCCGTTCCATTAACAGGGAACCTTGAAAAAGAAAGCAAATGGTTGGAGGCCACGCAGAGCCAGAACTCACTTCCTATCGCAAGGGGCAACTAATTTTAGCAATTTCAATGGGTATTATTTGTTAATAAATCTACTCTTATGTTTTCCAATCATGCCCAGCATCGACATGGCAGCTGCAACTACATGTAAGTTTGTCTTTCGCTGATAAGGCCTCGTGTGTGCATACAGGATATTGCTGTCAGTGTACAAAGAAAGGAATAAAGAAAGGACACATCTTTACAACTAATAAATTCAAAGCATCTATCTACATGCACATGTATAGTATAAAGGTACACCTGGGCACAAGTTCGACTGGAAAGCACTTGTTGACCGCAGGTCCATTTTCCCCGGTAACCTGTGCACAAAATTTATCCTGGGTACCAGGCCAAATCTACCAGTTGTTGAATAATAGTCCTCAATTGAACTTGCGCTTTGTTTGTGTTGTAGCATGTCCCCCCCCCAAAAAAAATCTGGGTTACAAAATATATGCAAATATGCATTCACGTAGACATTCATGTGCAGTATGTACCGAATATGTGTGACATTTAAAAAATGGCTTGCAGTACACGCAAGAAAGCTGCACAAATACCTTGCCAACGCAATGGGAAACTGCACTTGTATAACGGTACCACTAACACAGCGGAAACTGTTCCTTCCCACTCACCAACCTTGCCAACAATATTAAGAAAGCTACCTAAATGCTAAAATGTGCCCAGAATGTAAAAAAGTTGCCCTCTCCTGTTCCATTTTTTTTATTGAACAAGAAAATTATCGATCATTTCTCCCATCGCTAAAACATATAAAAGAACCTTGAAGAGAAGCCTGAGGGTAATATGACCGTGTTTGTCACATCTGCCTTGCACTCTGTTACCACGGTTACACATAAGCTGCAGACAAGGAAGACATGTACATGTACCAAAACTGAGAAAAAAATATCGACTACTCTCATAAATAAAGTGTGCCGGGCAAAATACATTTGTCGTTCCGTTCACGCGCGAGCCTTTCAACTTTTACATGCACATGTGTAATTCTTCAGCTTCCAAGCCAAGTTCCTGGAAATTTGAAATTTAACACCCAGAGGAACTTTTTGAGGTTTTTGGTTGAAGGGGTATGGGTATTGCTGAGTTAGACAGCAACATGATTTAATACATTCTGACAGCTTTTTTATCCGATGTACACATACACGTACATGTATACCTATAAGCACATATGTAGATCTTCAACAAATTTGTGTTGAGCCTGAAAAATTGGGAAAACATCTCCTCAATCCAAGTTCACTCCGCTGGGATTCCTACTTAACTCTGAGACCAACGTCACAAACTGTCCGCCGAAATGTCAGGGCATTTTATTCCATTCTTGCTTTTTTTTTCTGAGAATTACAAAACGACAGACAATCTCAAATATGCGCCTTATCTCATTCTGGCACGATTTCATTTAGCCCTCTGGATGAAATCTGTCAAAATCCTGACATCTCACGAGATGTTTTCTTTTCCCCTTTTTTGAAGATCCCTCGCGGATACTGGAGCACCTGTTTGGCGAATTAAACTGTCACCTTCAACAAGTTAATGTCGAACTCCTGAAGACAGCATTAATGGATTGCTCCAGACAGTGCAATAAAAGCAAAGTACGTATATCTCCTGCATTTCAAACTGAGCACAATTTCACAGAGTTGTCAAGCAGAATAATTTTACCAGTTTATCAGCCGGTTAAAAAAACACACATACAAGAAACTGGCCGAGATCCAGTTTATAAAACAATAGACTCTTCATTTTTTGGCTGGTGACCTACCAGGTATTTTCATCACAGACAAACGTGTCCGTGCTCGGTGAAAAATTCCAGTGCTTAGCTGGTTTGGAAACAGATCTCTTCTTCATCTCCATCTCGAGTCTCATTTACAATGTGCATGTACAAATTGATCATCCTACTGACATTTCTGTTGTTTGCTAGTACATGACATGTACTGCCCTACCATCCAACATGGGATGCAAGCACCTACTGATCTCTCAGTCTTGGTTGGCAATGTTTGGATTCTGCACGTACCTCAGAGTCCACATTTTCCCAATATTCATTAAAGACAGAGTTTCATTCAGTATTCATAGTACATGTATTTATTATTTGGCATTTATTATTAGCTGCATGAGACCGAACACTTATGAATTATTCTTTTTGCACTGATCGCCAGCCGTAATCTGTGAATTACTGGCCGGCAGAAACAATGGCTGCAATGTAGAAAGACAATGGCACATTGAGGATTTGCACAGTATGAGCTCATCGTATGCCTGGAAGAAGGGCATTCAGGCAAAATGTGCAAACAGTTGGCTTTATCACGCTGGGGTTTTTTTTTCGGCCATTTTGATGGGCAGCAAAGTGGTCTTCAGTTGCTTTTCATAAAGATGAAAGTCCATCAAAGGACGACACTTGGATAAGAGGACGGCAAACTAAACTGAAGAAAAATGTTAAGGAGACAGGTTAAGTCTGGGGAATTTCAAATTTCCAACAAATTGGAATGCTTTCCGTGAGGCAAGGACTTGAAATGCATGTACATCCATTAATCTTTCTCATTTCACTTTGATGTGTCCAGGATATCTCTGTAGAGACTGTCGACGATGGTTGGCCAAACTGAAAACAAATGCAGGAGGAGAGATGGTACGTGTGAGACCAAGTGAACAAATTGTTTCTTACACTGTTTTCTTCTAAGGCTAGGGTGGCTTTTTATAACAGATGTACGACAGCTAAAATTGTTCATGCTAATAAAAGACAGAAGACTATTAAAGGAGAGTGCATAGCCTTCAAATGAAATTATCCCCACTGACAAGAAGATCTTTATTTTCTGGGGGGAGGAAAATTACCAGAAGATTCCTGACTGTTCCAGTTAAAAGGAGCTGATCAGTCCTGTCACAATGAGTCTGCTGTACATGTCATTGCACTGTTTACCATTTTCTCATAAAGTGATCCCTTTAGCTGAAATCAGAATTAATCTTAACTCACAAATGCAGGCTGCCAATTTCTATCAATGTGATTTCCCTAAAGGCAAAAAAAGGAGAAAAAAAACAGATCCTGAAATCAGTAAACGTGGCATTCTGCAAAAAAATAAATAGAAAATGCACAGAAAGCAGTCAAATGTCACACTGTTGTGAGTGTTGTCAGAAGTTCACACACTCGTATTTCATACGATCCTTGTACACTTACTCCGTAACTTTACGCCCATTTCGTGTAAAAAAAAAGGGTATTGGGTGTCTGCCAAGGGTTCTTAAACAACAACGCAACACGACAGGGTGAACGGCCAATGGGACTGTTGTCTCCGGCAACTTCTGATCAAAAAGATATTTCAATACTTAGGCCAAATCAACACACACGTGGAGATTAGATATCAACTTCTTTTCCAAAGCCTCACGGCTGGAATTTCACAATTTCCATGCCATTGGTCTGGGCACCTCTACTTATTCTATTTGGGGGGCTTCAATTCTGAATGTAGAGCACAGATTCAAAGGGAAACCCCCTCAAAATATTTTTTTTGCCTTCCTAATAAATGTTTTTGGGAGACTCATCTCTTCACTTCGTATCATATTAACCTCAGGGGAAAAAGCAGACAAACCTTAGCATGCCAAGAAGGTACAAGTAAGTAGGACAAGTAACGCGGCCCACTCGAAAAGTGACCAAATGCATTTTTAGATCTTTCCTGAACTTGTCTGTATTTTGTTTTCTGCTTCTGGCTTCCATTATTTTTACCTCTGTTTTTCCTCTCTGGACATGATAACTGATCAGTTACAATTACATGTAGGCACTTTCTGCCAGGAATCCTCCAGACAAAACAAAATCTTCGACAGTGCACTTTGGTGGAAGACTGACCTAAAAATCCAGAGAAATCAAACGTCAAGCAACTGCTCTGCCAAACAACTTCCGTGCTAGCTTTGCTCAGCGTATTCTTGTACACAATACATAAAAAACTGTCTTTCTTCTGAAGAGACCTGGCCAAAAGTTTACTGCATGAACAGGTAGCAAGTCAGAACTTGTCATGGAATTTCACCATTTACAAAAAAAAAATTTACACATACATGTAGGCACTAATGAAGGGCTTAGAAGCTTAGTTTTATGGGCAAACCCACCTACACACCATACATACATGTACATACGGTACATGTAGTTAGTACCCGTTTACTGAACAATTTACATGTAAGTTGTTGTTAAATGGAAATTTCAAAGAGATCTCAAGATACAGCACCGGTAGGTCAGAATAGACAATTGCCACTTGTGCATGGGCTCTGAATCATATGAAGCAAGATGTGAGACAGAGAGAACCCCCCCTGCTTTGTGTTGGTCATTGTTTCACTAGAATCTGAGGAATTCTTTTCAGACATCTAGGGGGGGACGTGTTAGGTAACAATAGTCTAGATTGTGTATAACTAGCACGTGGGAGGTACCCCTCGGTCTCATCTGTTGCTGGATATACTCTGAATTTTTGGACCTGATTTTCTCAAAACCCGAACAATGGATATGTACGTGTAAATGTGACTTTTTTGCTGCTTCTACACATAAAATCTTTCTGAGTAAGTTTTGCTCATATAACTGACCACATTACTGTACATTCATACGTTTGGGATTTTTTCTTTTGCAGGGGTCAACGCCATTTATGTGTAAAACTCGCAAAGGTCCTTTCCCTGACAACACTGGCATCTGTAAATAAAGTTCCTTTAAGTTACACATCGCCTGGCAAAATGGGACAGTGGGACACTTCACCGCCCTAGCCCGCGTCCGTGCATGTTTACAAAATTCCCGGCGGAGATTGTGTTTGCACTCTTTGAAGCTGTTGCAATCAGGGCGGCCGCATGCCCCCGCATCAAAATATTCTCTTAACGGCCGTTGGATCAAATTTGAACTTTTTGAGTCTCGCCCATGCTCCAGGTACCGAGGGGAAAGGAAGGGGGGGTAGGCATTTAAAAGGCTAATGAGAAAGAAACAAGATGTTAGGAGAATCCAGGGTAGTCCAGATCTCACATCCCTGGCAACAGTCATCAGTGCACCTCCCACAAATTTTCTGCAGCATCGCAAAAATCATTTTTTCCCACAACTCTGCTAGTAAAAATTGTCACTCACAAAAAGTTTCCTTTCAAAAACCCTTTTCACAAGCAAAGAACTTTTGGTAAACTCCATCTTCCAACACAAAAACACACACCCAAAAACCCAAGAAAACATGAACAAGCTTTTTATGACCTTTTGAAGGTTTGTGTGGGACATTTTCCCAATGGCATTGCTAAGTGAAGACTGTGACCTTTTCCCGACTTTGCCTGCATTTCCTCAACCTTTTCTCATGTTTTTCTTTAACTTCCTCATTATTCTCCGTCTGAGGCAAGTTTAGCATTTTGAAACATTTTCAGGTTATTCCTCAACTTTTCTACAACTTTCTGGGAACATTGATCAGCATGACTCAAACGTATAAGGTGCATGGTCTATATGTAAATATCACAGAAAGGCTGCCACATGCACAGAAATTTACATGTACTTAACACAGAAAATACGGTAGCTGCTAAGCAAAAACGAGTCACCAGCTAAAACATCATGTGATGAATCTTCAGTGTCTATTCTGCTTAGCGGCTCCAGATACCAGGTCTTGAAAACTTCTTGACAAAACACATCTGCTGTAATTTTTTACTTACTGGGAATTCTAGGTCCTCATTTTCGCAGTTCATCTTAACAAGGTTAACGGTGGTGGCCGTTAGGCAGAGACGATAGTTCCCACTCAGTCCTTTGCTAGAACCAAGTCCTTTAGGTTTCACTGTTACCTGCCAGACATGTTCTAAAGATCAGAAAAGAGAAACAAAAAATACATGTAATGAATAAACATGCACCAGCAGCAGTGTGAGACCATGTCCAAAAGAAACATATTTAGTTATGATTACTTTTTTTACATCGAAAAGGACTCTTTCAAAGATTTTCACCTTGAAGGTGGCTCTGGAACCTTGCCACTCATTCTGTTAGGTTGGGTCATGACTTCAGTATTCTGCACAAGCTTTCATTAATTCTATCCTTCCCAGATCCTTCAAACCCAACAGGAGGTTTTGGAGGAATTTGCTTCCGTTATTTTGAAGTCTCCTGACAGTTGAATATGGATGTGATTCCCGGCCCAGTTGACGTGAATTTGGTTTTCAATTTCAACCTAATGCCATGGGGTCTACCCAAAACATCCTCCAGCCCACCTCAAATAACCGTAACTTCTCATTATCTCCTCTGAGCTACAGTGCCTAGGGTGCTTCTGAGGAATCCTAGGTTTCATTACCAGAAATGCTTAATAGAAATATCCAGCAATAAGATTGGACTTTTTTTCTGGAGAGATCTGAAGTGAAGGAGAGTAACTACCAAAGGCCGGCATGGGCATGCCGTCATTTTCAGCTTGCTGCTGCAGCAACAGTTCCTGCAACCACTCGTTGAGTGAGTTCTCATCCTCGGCGACCACCACAAAGCAGTCGTCGCGCGTGTAGAGCGCGATGGCGTGCCGGTGCTTGCTGTCTGTCTTGCGGTTGATGTTGAAGCACGTCTTGAGGTCAATGGTGCGCTTGCAGAGCGCCCCCGCCCTGAACTTCTTCTCGCTGTCATAGTACTCCAGACGGGCAGGGCACGAACTGCTCTCACAACGGAGCACAAAGAACTTCTTTCGCATCGTCTGCATAGAGGAGAAAGAACAGAAAAAGACATGGGGTCAGTCTATAATCAGCCTAAAGCAGAAGAACCCCTCATCAGTTGAAAAGAGCCATGATGGTGGGGAGTGCTCATTTTGTTGGCAGCGAAGCGACTGTAACGTGTGCAGTACAGTCATTTGTGAACCAGCAATGTGCAATTCCCACCAAACGAGCCTCCCTCCATTGCTAGGAAAAATGCGCCCTCTCTTGGTCGAGCTAAGGGCTCATAGCCGGTCATTTCTCACAACCTTATCAGTCGAGGTTGAACAACGCACTTTTGTACATGTACATTTAGCCAAGCCTGGCTTTTACTTCTTAAACGACAGCTTGCCCCATTCATTTCATTGGCAGCCTACATGTACCTGTAAACCATACAGTTTTATTCTTACTGCGTGCTGAACCAGGTTTCCCAACAGCAGTAATATTGAATTATGTACTCTTTTACTAAATAAAGCTGGGCAGTTTTCACAGGGTTATTTTTTGTAAACACCTGTAAAGCATATTTGCTGGCAATTGGCAAAACGTCAGTGACATCTACATGTACATGTATGTGACCCAACGTGTACACATTATAACTTTGGCGATAAACATGTAGAGATGAAGCAATGTTGTTGTTTTTTTTTTTCCATTTTTTGATCAGCTTTTATTTTTCTTGGCAGGAAAAGATAACACAGGACAATTTCTGTCTGGGAATAAAAAATAACTGCTGGTACATTTGTGTAAGAGGCAGAACTGCAGGTACATGTAAAGTTCTACCTCAGTTACAGCCCTTCTACTGATGTTAGGTGTACAAGGGGTATACATGTACATGTACACGTATGCAGTCTCGTGGTAATATTTTATTTCTATAACTCAAAATATTCTTAATATACCGTACTGATACATCTACATGTACATGTAGCAGTAATTAGCATAACAGGCCTATTACAGAAAATGGGTGGTATGCCATATCTTCCCCTCTAAGCTGAGTTCTGTTCAAAAGTCTCGTAGAAACCAAGAAAAAAAATCTCATGCAGGACTTGCCATCAAGGCTGAAGGCTCCTCTCAGACAATAAACCGCAATAATAAGGTATTTAAAAATCGAACCCGTTCTCCATTGTTTGCCGCCTGATGTGATAGCTAGGGGAAAAAAATTAAGTGGCCCCTCATTGCTCTGCTCTCTCAGTGCTGCCAGCTACAAACACCAGGCAATGTGGAAGACCGTTACACAGCCCAAACCGATTCCCTATGTTAGGGAGCAAGGCCTTCATGTTATTTTTAGAGCCAACCTTGGTTGATTGACTTCCTTCAATTAAATGTCCTTGTTTACGCAGTACATGTACAATTGCAATTTTAGAGAAACGTCAGGCGTGCAACTGCTACACATGCGTACAAGAACATTTAATGCTCGCGTACATGTGCCTGCACACTGAGGGTAAAAAAAAAAGGTCAGATCATTTTTATAGCTATTTCCATATTTGTCTTAAACAAGAGTGACCACGCTCAGTTAAATGGAGTAAAAGATGTGAATATAAAAAAGAAGTGGAAAAAACCTTTTTCACACCAGTCCTACATGTATTTTCTAAACAAAGTACAACAAGACTAACCGTGTGATATTACCCGTGTCAACTACATGTACATGTACATATTCATGCATTCCAACTACATGTAGATATTCATACATGCACATTCCAACTACATGTACATGTACATGTCGTGTTCTCACAAGGTTACGCATGCAAAAAAAGCACATGTACAGTTGTTGGTTTTTGGGGGGTTTTTGTCACATAACATCATGGTTTCTTTAAATACATTGTATATCAGCACAAAGGCCAGTAATGGGACATGGTGTCCACAAAATATGCACATGTACAGTACCTGGACTTGCTCAGCAATAGACGTGTACCAATAGACGGTACCTGTATCCTACATATACATTATTCTTTACATGTATTTCAGTGAAAGAATCTGAGAGTTGGCACTGACAATAGTCAACTCAATACAAGGAAGATTAGAATGTTTGGGGGGCAAATCTTATCCTCAGAATACTGTACGTACATGTACATTGTACTGTACATCAATTGCTTGGCTTGCACCAGTACACGATATGTAGAATACCAGTGAATCCAGGCCTGAATAAATGATTTACGTATACCTACTGGGCTTTTTATTATGAAAAGATTCCTTTGTAAAGCTCAGCATGGTAAACCTGAGCAAATTGTGCTCAAAGCACTAAGACTAGTACATTTTGCCCAAAGGCCAACACCAAAATTGCATTACAAAGTTCTTCCAACTGCTGCGCTACATACATGTGCATATTTAAGAGGATATATGTGCATGGCTCACAGGCACCTGTAGACTGTAAAAACTTAACTTTTAAAAAGCCACTTCCTAACCTCTTTGACAAAGTCAAAACCAAAACCCATCTGTAGAGATGTCACAAAATGTAAGTGCAGGCACGCATGTGTGAACATCTCCCGAAGCATCATTATTAAGTTTGCAGTGGCAAAGATAAACTGCAGACAACTAGCCAAGCAAATACAATTAATCAAAAACACAGAGACAAAGCAATCGCTGCCACACCTGCACCCCCTTAGGAAAGACCAACTCTTGATTTTTTTTCTCCTCTACACAAAGACTACCTCCTTCAGACTGTGGATTTCCACAGGCAAACGTAATAGATCTAGAGATACACGGCCTAGAAGACTGAGTTGAATAACCTGTCTTGAAAATTAACTAAGTTTTCTTGCGGTCTGTTTTCAAGTGAAAGTAAGGAGGGGTTCAGTCAAGCCAGTCTAATTCAATTTATCAAAAATATCACCGGGACTTTATCTTTCTTCAAAAGCTAAGTATGGGATTTCTTGTCAGTAGCATTGCAGATGCTGTCAAGAAATGGTTTCAGTTGTCAACCTCTCATGAATACATGTATCTCAATTCATATACCGTATACGATTGCTTCCCAAGATGGTATGGTACACACAATAATTCAAATTTGGAAATTTGCACGGTCTTTTTTGTTTTGTGAATAAAAACAACCCACTGAAATGGTTCATTAATTTTCAACCTCAAATGGAGAACTTGTAACAAAATGTCACTCTGGTTTCTGCAACAATGTGCATGCAGTGCACCGCCTGCAAAATGCCTCTGTATGTTGCAGGTTCCTCAAAATACATGTATGGACCATTAGATAATGTTCAACTCTGGGGGTTCATTTTTCCTGAAGTGAACAGCAGTGAATTAATTCCTAATGTCTGATGAAATGAGGGAAGTCATGGCTGATATCTGGAACAATGATGACCGTGTCCATCTTTCAACTTAATCGGAGTTGATGAATTAAAGTCTTGAACGTCAACATTTTTGACGGATGTAAACAACCTGTTGAAATCCCAGCCAATAAATTTACCGGGGCGTGATAATCCTTGTGGTTATTTTATATGGATTTATATGTGGTGAAAGGTGATAATATTTACACATACTAAAATCACAATCACGAAATTAAAAAATACCTGTCACAAATAATTGGGTCCCAAAGTCGAAGTCGCAAACGTCATTCAATTCCGTCAAAAAACTTACTGCAAAAAAACAGCGAGTAAAATCAAAATCGATGTACAACACAAGCTTTAAAAAAGTGCAAAAAAGCACCCCCAAACCATCATTCTTTTATGACTGGACCGATCACATTTTCTTTAAGTACGTTTCTGAAAACCGCAGTCCAAAATACTGATCATGGTGATTTTGCAGCTTCCACCATTATCTTACAGTGACGTTAGGGAAACATTTTGCTGCATCGTGCGTAGTTTGACCTTTGACATGAACCCAGATAGTGCACCCTTTTTTTCATTCGAAATTCATGAGCCCCTCCACGGAATGGTGATGCTCTGTGATTTTTCCCTTCGTACCAAGATTTCTCAAAAGAAAATTGGTCATATTAAATGACGTTAGCAAAAAAATGACGTCCAAGATATAAAATACGATTCATGGTGAAAATCTACTGCTCAGAGTTGTTAATTTTAATTTAATTTTCAGCGGGGATACACTGTACCTCCAAAATAAGTGGCAAAATGAACATCGCGCAAGGAATATTCAAGCACTTCACGTGACAGCATTTTTGGTATTCTCAGAACATCATGCATTTTTTGTCAAAATTCTCGAACATTTTTAAATTTTGTCAAATATATCGTTCACAACAAATATATTGTACTCAATATGCATTTTCGATGCAGCCAAACTTATAGATTATTTTTGGTGATTGAAAGGTATAAGACCTGGCAGATATGCTGGTATAGTGAGAGTGATTAGAAACGGTAAGAGAATGAAGACAGCCAAACCTTTCTCATTATCTGTCAATTTTGTGCTCTTTTTTTCATGGCTCATATTTTTTTAAAGCTACATATTTCTTAGGTGCTTTAGAATACATCAGTTGAAAAATATACTGAATTCTCCTTTTGATGACAGAAGTTTTGAAATTAAGTCCTCTGGTGCAAACACTTTGACATAAAACTCTAAATGAATTCAACTCCATTTGATTTGCACTGGTAGCCAACCAAATGTCCACCAAATGTACACAGAATGCCTAGTTATCCCCAAATAATCATGTTTACAAATTTGTTTTATATATAATCAAAGTCACTCTTTTGGAAGTTTTGAAAAATGACATGCGGAGTTGCATTTTGGTCCATTTTATGAAGAACATGCCATGTGCATTGTGCAAGCAAGGTTTACTCAGAGGCCTCTCACCTCAAAGTGGTTTTGGCAACTTGCAACTCATTCAAGTCACATTTGCAGAGCAATTTGGGTTTGTTTCAGTAAAGGCTAAGCAGGGGTGTATGGTGTAGCCTGGTTCATGGGTTCATCAGGGGTCAACTTGGGGGTCGTGATCAGGGGGGCAGAGGTCAAGTACTGTCTGTGTGGCAAATTCAGTGGTCCTCCGGGACAAAGTTCAAAAAAGTAAAGAGGTGTCCCACCAGGACAAATGCCTGCCAATGTGCATACAACAGAACTGATG